AAATCACAATCCTTTAACCAGAAAATACTTATTATTTAATATTACTTATATATTTTTGTATACATATCGACATACATATTTATATTTCTGAATTGCATATAACTATAAACCCATTCATAAATATTGTTAAAAAAATAAATTGAACTAAAAACAAAGAAAATGATTCCATTATGTAAAAAAAAATAAAAAAAAAAAAAATTTTTTTATTTTTTATAAGTGTTTCTTACAAGTATATAAAAGGAATGCATTAAATTGCATTATATATATTTGGTATGCATTAGTCATATATGTATGTACTCATATTGTACATTGTTATACCACAATTCATACATATTTTGTATATACATATATTAAACAATGTTACTTATTATGATGACGGCATTAAAAGTATAAAAAAAAAAAAACCAAAATGTAAAAATGAAAGGTTAAAAAACGGCTCAAAATTTCAACACTATACTTAAGTCTGGTAGAAAATATTTTCAAAAAAAAATTTTCTTTATAGCTTTAAAATTATAAGAATTGTAGTTAAAGATTATGATTTTTTAAATTAATTAATGCTGTAAAAATTTAATTAAATTTTTTATTATTTTAAAATATTAATTGAAATTTTTGCTAATGTCTCAATTAATCTTACTAAATTTAAAATCTTACTAAAATTTATATTTTTATTAATAGTTTTAAACGCAATAATTTCACTGCAAGTCACTTAACTGACACGTTTTTATTCAAGAACACAATTAATGTATTCCAGTTCCAGTGAACACAATTCTACAGTGAAGGCTATTCAATCTTTTGAATAAGTTCACTAATATTAAATTTCAAATAAATCATACTAAGAAGTAGTATTATCTGTAATTTTCTCTTATAAATATTTCTAAGTGTTTGATAGATTGGTTAACGAAATGTCGTTGTCAGCAGCCTGTTATATACTCTTATTTAAAGTGTCTAAAACTTCAATATCACGAAATTTTATTTTAATTTTCTTCAAAATTTCAAAAAAATTTTTGAAAAAATTATCATCTCGCTGAAATATCGATGGTCATCGATATAATATTTGGTCATACACTTTAAAATGAACACAATGATGTAAGAACAATATAAATTTTATTTTAATAAAAAAAATATTGCTCTTTTTTTCTCATTCAACATGAAAAGTACCGTTACAATGAGAGAAAAAATAAAAATAGTTTGTTAATATTTGTTCACTATTTTGGGCTTTTACAAAAAATTCTTGTCTCACAGTTGTAAGGTAGTCAATACTAAAATTAGTATGCTCTCTCTCGAATTAGTATTAGTATGAAATTTTATAAAATTGAGTGTTCGCTACAGCAGAGTTATACTGTAATTATATGGAATTTATTAAGATTATTTTTATATTAAATAAGTTTATTAAATGTTACAATTGTTATATAACAAAATTAATTAATATTTCTTTATTATTAGCACAGAAAATTAAAGTTAATTAAAAAAATTAACTAAAATTTTGTTCATTTTTAAGAGTATAACATTTTTGAGCTACATGCCATAAATGTCGCACCTTAACTTATAGTTCTCGAACTAAATAATTTTTTTTTTGTTTTCGGCCATTGACTGTGCAAGAATTTATTTCTATTTTTGTTTTGTTTTTATTTTTTTCACCGAGCTTTTCGAGCATTCTACAAAATTGAGTTTAAGGATAATTTCAATGTCCTTCTACCTATATTTGTGATTTATTGGCTGATGAAAAAAAAAATCTACATATATATATATATATGGTTATCAACCCCTGCCAATATACAATGTCTCTTATACATACATATACATAAAAAATATTCATTACATGTACATATTTCTTTAAATGAATCATTTATATTAAAGCATATGTGTACATATTATATGTGAAGCCACAAAAGTGAATCACAAGTCAAGGGTTATTTTCCTGTATGCATGTCTACACACATATTATGTATATAAAAAAGACAAAAACACAAATGAAATAAGGAAAAAAGAAAAATTCTTTTTAACATTTTTGTTTTAGTTTTTCTTTTGTATATCTATTATGATAGGAAAATAATAATAATAAAAAAAAAAGAATCGTTAAGGCGGTTATTAACCCAAATAATCCCAGTCTTTTTCCTTGTCTATTTTCTATACTCTTATTATTTTTGTTATTTTTTCATTATTTTTTGAAAATCAACTAAAATTTAAATGCATTAAAAAAATTCAACAAGTATAGAATTTTTTCTATCTTTTTTTTTTTCTATAAAAACAAAAAATGACAATAGATTTTTTTTTATTGCCTATAAGGAAACTATTTATAGAATTTTTATTTTTAATGCTGAATAAAGTAAATTGAGTTTTTTTTTTCTATTTTGAATTGTTATAATTGTTTCTACATGCATACATACATTTATTTTCTTGTTTATTTAAACAAAATTCTTTTAATTCACAATTTCTTTATGAGCTCCTATAAAATAAAATAAGTAAGTAAGGGCTCTAAAATATGTACATATAAAGAATAAGTACATTTGTATGTACATAAAAATTGTGTAGATAAGAATTTACAAAATGTTGTTTAATTTCTAGGAATATTAAAAATATAGCTAAAAGATTGTGATTCTTCTTTTACTGCTTTACAGTCCTTGATGGAGTTCCGCTACAATTCTCTTTCACACATTTCGATTCATCGCCGTGCTCTTCCAGTTAGTAATATTTGTCGATTTTAAGTCATCATCTACAGAATCTATCCGCCTTTTTTTCGACCATTCTCTCCTTCTATTTCCTTCCATACTATAGAGGGAAACCCTTTTAGTCACTCCAGAACGGGCATTCTAATAACATGTCCTAACCACTTCAGCCTTTGTGATTTAATGAATTTTATTATGCTTTTATTATTTTCGAATTTTATGATGAGGAATTTCAAATAATGATTTTAATTTTGATGTACAACAACTGTACAATATGGGTTTAAGTACTAAATTTTGTCCCTATATATTTTTTACCTTGTCTGTCATTGTAAGTACACGTACATGTTGACCATTTTGGAGAAAAGAGTCATAATTTAAAAGGAGTAGATTTTTAAAAATACAAAAAACAAAAAAAAAACCATAAGAAAAAATCTCATTGTATGTTATGACTTATGAGTGTGATCTGCTCTTGATCTGCTTATTGTAAATTTCTCTTAGAGAATAATTTTAAATGCTAGAAACTATAACAAATTATTTACAATAAGAGTGTCAGACTACACGGTGTGTTGAATTCTGTTACCTTATATATGTCGTATACTACGCATCCAATTACGTGGATACCTTAAATTTCGTTGCTTTTCAATTTTTCTATAAGAAAGCTGTCGCTTTTCTAGTATAAACCAGCAGTAAATGTTCAAAATTATTTTTGGAACACAGCGTTAAGGTCGTGTATAACGTATCTTGCTTCAATATGGTTTAGAATACACTCTTCAATTGTAATTTAGTAAGGAATTAGACCAGTCCGTACCGCTTGTACTGCTGTTGTTTATCAAATATTAAATTTTAATTTTTATTGTTTTTCATCCAAAAAATTAAAACATAAATTTATAAAACAATAAAAGAATTCGTACGTCAATTAAAATAATATTTTTAACCATATAGGTATTTTTTTTTAATTTTTTTTTTTGCTATTCGGGATATTTTAGAAAAACTCCTACTATTGTATAAGGTCAAAACCATATACACATGTATTTGCATTCTTATTTTAACAGTTATGTCAATATTTTTTTACATTATTATAATTTTATGAATAATTAATAATAATACAAAAGAATTCACCACATACATATGTCTAAACAATTTATAAAAAAGAAAAAATTCACCACATGTCTAAATGTCTGTAGAATTTTTAAATAATATTTCATTTGTTAAAACAAAAAAAAATTAAAATATTTATATAATATTATTTTATTGTTCGAAGAAATAAATACGAACGGATTAAAAAAGAAATTAAAAATTATTATTTAAAAAAAAAATATATGAGCTCATTTCGTAAATCTCGTGAAGATGTAAAATATAAGGTAATATTCTTGATTAACGTTAGGGAAATTGAAAATACAAATGTTAATAAATTTTTTTTCTAATTTATTTAAGATCGTACAAAAAGCTTGATTATCGTTTGTGATGCTACTGCATTAATTCTGTCAAAATAATATCTTTCATTTTACATAATGGACGACATTAGGAATCAAATAAATTGAAAAAGTAAAAAAATGTCTGAATAAATATTGATCTCCGAATTTATATTGACTTCAAGAGTTAAAGTAAAAATTTCCCCATAAAAATTCCCACGTACATAATATTAAGTATTCGTTTGATTGACATTTAATTATTCTCCCAAAAAAAAAGAGCGATAACGATAGCCAGAGCGCAAAAATGCACTCAAGAATTTGATTCATTGGTGGTGCTTGGTTATTAAGATGCAATGCAACGTATAAGCATCAAATCAAAATTATTTTATGTCCTAATTTTGAATTTGTTGCCAATGAAAATTTTCTACTTAACAACGATTTTATTAAACAAAATTTTTAAAACTGTCAATTATTCGGAATGCTATTTTGCACTCCAAAATTTCTTCATTATATTTTACTCATCGTAATTAGCCACAATTTTGCGGTTATCAAATTTTGAAGCGCATCTTCGTATCGCGCATTGTGTTTATAGTTATAACTTTGATTTTAAACTTTATTTCTGTATAAACATGCTTATTTTGCTCAAAATTGTTACAATGTAGTTATTGAATTTAGGAAATTATAATCGTATATAATATTTGCTCTTTACTGTAGATGAGGTGCAGTTGCTTTAATTTACCCACAGTTGAAATGTTTAATGATTAAATATTTTGGAAACTTTGACATGTTAAGCTGCAAATAAATTTCTTAATTTTACAAATTTACTTTAATAATTTAAAAAAAAATATATATATTTTAATTATTTCAAAATATGTTAACATTAATTAATAAAAATTGTTTTTTCATTTCTTTTATTTTTTAGATATTAAATATGGAAGATGATATGAATTGGTATCGTGCTGAATTTGAAGGCAAAGAAGGTTTAATTCCTAGTAATTATATAGAAATGAAAAATCACGAGTAAGTTTCTGAAATAATATTAAAATAATATTTAAGTAATATAAATAATAACACATAATTATAATATTTTAATTTTCCTTTTCGATTTTCATTTGCTTTAAAAGTTGGTACTATGGTAGAATTACACGTGCTGATGCTGAAAAGCTATTATCAAATAAACATGATGGCGCATTTTTAATAAGAATTAGTGAATCTAGCCCAGGAGATTTTTCACTATCAGTCAAGTAATAAAATAAATTAAAATATACGAATAATAAATATATATTTTTTTGTAAATTAATTTAATTAATTTATTAATTTTGAAATTAATTTATTTAATATAGATGTCCTGATGGTGTACAGCATTTTAAAGTTTTACGTGACGCACAAGGTAAATTTTTCCTTTGGGTTGTTAAATTCAATTCATTAAATGAATTAGTTGATTATCATCGAACAGCTAGTGTATCTAGATCACAAGATGTCAAATTAAGAGATATGGTGCCAGAAGAGGTATAATTATTTTATTATTAAATTTTAATATGCTTATTATGATCAGCGAAGCGAATTGCTTTTCGAATCGAATTAAATTTAAAATTATAATCAGCGAATGATTTTGTTCGCCAAGTCCAAAAATTACTTTAATAAATTATTTTGAAAAATTTAATTATTTTTCATTTTTAACATAATTCGCCAAGCTTATTACATTGAATTTTCATTCGAGATTTAAAATTTATCGAATTCGCTGATTATAATAAGTACTAAAAATTTATATTCGCCAAAAATGTCATTCGCTTTGGCATTCATAATAAGTATTCTTTTTTATTTTTGATAATTTTATTGGTAAATTATTTTAATTATCAAACATTTATTTTTCTGTTTTAGGTATTGGTGCAAGCCTTATATGATTTTGTGCCACAAGAAACTGGTGAATTAGAATTTCGAAGAGGTGATGTTATTACCGTTACAGATCGATCTGATGAACATTGGTGGAATGGTGAAATCGGTAATCGTCGAGGTCTATTCCCAGCAACATATGTAACGCCATACCATTCATAATAAATAGATATTAAAAATATACAATATATATAATATACATATATAAAGTATATATATATATATATATATATATATATATATATATATATATGCATAAATATTTTTAAAATTAATTTTGTGTTTTTCTCTTTTTTAAATATTTTAAGAAAATAAGAAAGAAAAATAAAGATTTTTTTTTTTCCAACAAAAAAGAAAATTAAAATAATAAAAAATAACAGAAAAATTAAACTAAAACAAAAAAAAAAGGTAACAAATATTATAAAAAATAAGAAAAAGATTAAAAAAATTCAAGGAAAATCAGATGAAAAAAAAAAATGTTTTATAAAAATTTAAGGAAACAAAATGAATAAAATGAAAATAAACAGAAAATGATAAGGTTATTCTTAATTCTTTGATAAAAAAATAAGAAAATTTTTTTTTTAATTTTATTTTAAATATTTTTTTTTGTTTTTGTTTAAACGTTCATAAATATTAAACGTTTTCAAGAACAATTTGATGAAAATATTAAAGAAAAAAAAAACAAATTTGAAATAAAAAATTTGTATTGGATTTTTTTTTTTTTTGTATTTTATTGTGTATTTTTTCATTTTAATTTCATTTATTTTTTATTTTAGCTTTTATTAATTTTTTTTTTGTTTTTTTTTGTTCATTAAGTTTTATATATAGACTACGAAAGCTATTCAAAATAAAACAAGATTAACGTGGTGTAAAAATACTACAGATGAATTTTTTCATTCATTAATTTATATAAATAATAAGTTGAATATTTTTGAAAATTTAAAAGAAAATATATTCATATTTGAAATAAGAATTAATAATAAATAATAATAATAAAAAGAAAAAGAAAGAATAAAATCATATATTTAAAAATTTAAATCATTTATTTTTTTTTTCGTTGCTTTTATTCACCATAATTAATTTAATATAAAAATTAATTTAATTACATTTTTCTTACAAGAAATAACAATAAAGGTTCAGAATCTTATACATTTCATTCATATTTATTAAGATTTTTTGTATTAATTTGTATATTTTTGCCATTTTAATTACATTAATTTCCAGGTGCTGTTTATAAAAAAAGTAAAAAATTCTATTAATAATTTCAATATATTTCAAAATTTAATTAGAGTTTATATTGGATGAATTGAAGTTTTTTTAAGAAAATTGAAAATAATTCATAAAAATAATGTAATTTTTATTTTAAATTTTTATTAATTAAAAATAAAAAAAATACCATCTTTGTGGATTTCAATTTTAAAATATGTAAAATTGCAATCCTATGTGGGTATGCTCATTGTCTCTTGTCAAAAGCAACAAATTCCAAAGAGCTCTCATTATAACCCGGCCAAACTTGTCTTTCGCCTTACCTGGAAAATTATTTAATAATATTGTTGGTAAAGTGTAAGTGATTTATTCTGTTTCTTTTAGAGCACTAGTATATATTTGTTTATAAAGTAAGTCTTTTGAGTAAAACCTATTTTGATTTTAGAAAATCTTAGCTGATCATAACAAGGACCATTTATAAATGGTATTTTTGTCTTTCATGTCGGATATTAAATGTATTGCCTACATCAAGTCGTACGTTATAAATTTCTCAGGGTCTTATATGATATGTGAACTTTTATTTATCCATATTGTTATTTCTTGAATTTTGTCACCTGTTGTAAGCCTTTAAGTTGTATTTTCTCCTTGCAGATTGGAAAATTGTTAGAGCACAATCATTAATTTCATACAATAGGATCATGTTATTTAGATTTTTACCTTTTAGCTTGATTTCAGGTTTCATTTTCATGTTATAGATAGCAGCTAGACACATTTATGTTTTAACATTTCACTACCTTTGGGTTTTTTTGGATCTTTTAATGGTCGTTTATTCAGTCTAGTTACACTATTGTTTGCCACTTTGTGTAAAACTATTTGTTTTTCGCTTTGTAAACACATTAAGATAAAATAAGAATTTCGTTTTTACCAAGAATAAAATAGGCACATTTGCAACCAGTCATCATTGTTTTTATAATTCAAATTTTAAACAAAAATATCATCAAGTTTTGGTACCATCACTAAAAAAAAATGAACTGTTAAAAATAATTGCCATTATGCCAATATGTCAACATTTAAAATTACACCGAATACCGCTATCATTCACTAAATTTTTTCTTTCATTCTCACTTTTGTTACAATGATGACAGAGGCCTTATATAGTTAACATGATTTAATATTGATAACACAAAATAAAAATTTATAATATTTTTTACTCAAGTCACAATTCAAATTCATTTTGGACGCATCACTTGAAATGATAGAATGACAATACAAGTGATTTGTTTGACAGAACGTATGCGAGTGAACGTATTTATATAATTTACATAATTTCTGTAGCATTTTCAAATAAATCATCTGTAGTATTTTTTAAATAAATTTCAACTTATATATTGAAAATTTAATTTTTAACTTATTATAATAATTAATAAAACGATAAAAATAGCGATTAAAAAAAAAAACAAAAAATCATTAACAATAGAAAAAAACATAAAACATAGCAATAGAAAGTAAAAATTATAGGTAAAAAAAGAAGAATATTAAAATTAAATTAAAAAAAAAAATGTGAATTTATACAAAAGATATCATTAAAATAAAGGTCAGAAAAAGAAGCAGAAAAAAAAAACAAAATCAATTTTTTTTTTTGTTTTTTTTTTTTTTTTTAAGAAAACCAATTAAATTTAGATGTTCGTAACTCATTTAGTATTCTTAGATTTATTACAAATATCATATATAAATTATATAGTTATATACAATTAAATAATTAAATTAAATAAAAAAGAGAAAAAAATAATTAAACAAATCGAAAAACGTACACTTTTATTAAAATTCTATTTGTTTTAAATTTGTTTCTGTATTTATTTTATTAAATTAAAAAAAAAAAGTAAGAAAAATTATTGAGTGAATTTTTGCAGTACTTTTTACAAAATTAAACTTTTATTTAATATCTAAATTATATAATTTTTTTTCAAAATCTAATAATATTTAATTATTACAACACATACTTTCTTTTAATATTAATTTTATTTTAATATTATATAATATACAACATCAACGGGAAAGTCGAGCCAAACTCAAAATATATTTGATCTTATACGACAAATTGAATTACAAACATCAAAATGTCATCATTAATATTTGCGTTCTATTTATTTGTTTACGTTTTGCCTTTTCTTAGCCGCCACCGTCTTTTCTTAGCTCGTTCTGTCTTTTTTCTACCACAATTTTTACCCACTTCTTGTCCTCTGGTCTCTTTTCCTCAAGAATTTGGCTGATTCTTTTCAAATTCCTGAAAGCGATTCTGCGGCCTTTCGTAGGTATACGCTGGCGGCATTAGCCAGTCTACATGACTGTTACCTCGCTTTTTAAAGTTTTTTATAGTTTTATGTCTGCCAAATATTAGCTTCGGTTTCGATTTGGTTCTTGTTTCATGTCTACTCATTTCAACTCGATATACGATTTGTTCTAGTGGAATTTTTTAGAACACTATTAGACATATTCTTTTCCTGTTTTTGACGAGGACCAGCCTCTTTTCGCTTTTTTTAATAAATTCAACTTCTCCATATAGTTGTTCTCACGAGTTGTAAAGAATGTATGTCCATCTAAGCCGATATCCGCTATACTTATATAAGGTTAAATAATCCGCACAGCGTTAGTTATCTGAATATTTTTCATTCGCGACTTGTTTATTTATGTCGGCCCCCAGCCAAGCTGATTATCAGCACGCGTCGTATAACATTTTAATTCGGCTCAGAGAAATTGGTAATAATATGATCTATTAGGAAGGGTATATTATCGTTTAACTTCAGATCCCATCTCAAAAAGAAAACAAAACTATAAAAATTTAGTAGGTGCTATATATAAATAATATTGAATAATATTGCAATATGACACTAAAGGGTTAATACTAAATAATTATACTTAATATTATGGCATTATTTTAGAATATACATATATATATAAATGATAATTCAAATGACTTCTTCATAAAATTTTTAATAGATTTTCATAACACTTTAATTTATTAAATTTTAGATTAATTTTATTAAAAAATTTTTATTATTTTTAGTATACTAAATGAAAGATATATATTAAAAAAAAAAAAAAAAAGAGATAAATTAAATTGTTTGTGTGCCAAAAAAAACTTTAATTAAATTGTAATAAAAAAATTATTATTAAATAAAATATTAAAAATCAAAAACCAATTTGCCATTGAATAATTCAAAAATTGACAACTTAACCTTAAAAAAATTTGTATGTGTTTACACTTTTCTTCAATTTAGCCTCCAATAATTGAAAGAAAATAAACTTATACAAATGTAGGTTATGTGAATTTGTTCAAATTGCAATTGGTTGCATTTAATTTCAAATTTTTTTTAAAATTTTAATTTTTAATTATTTAAATTAAAATATTAATAAAAAAAAAAACAAAAAACTTCACTCAATAATTTTATTTTAAGAAAATATAAAAATAACTCTCCTTTAAATTAAAAACTTAAAAAAAAAAGCGCAAAAATTTTATTTACAAACACTTATACAAGAACAAAAAGAAGAATAAAATATAAGATGCCAGTTTAATCAATATGTTTTTTTTTTTACATATTTATATATGTATATATAAATATATATATATACATATATATATATATATATATATAATTATTTAATTATAATAATACATTTATATATATTTTTTTTCTTATACTTATTTTGATGAAAAATTTGAAAATTAATAAAAAAAAAAAAAAGATTTTATAAATATATACATAAATATACATATTATATACATATGTATGTGTAAAATAACAATAGACAAAAAGAAAAAAATAATAAAATAAATAATTTGTATAAAATAATCTTTACGGTAATAAATTTTTACTTTAAAATTCTTGTTGTTTTCTTAATATTATTAATAATTGATATACAGTTAATATTACTCTAATCATACGGGCTTTCGATAATTCAATTTTAATTTAGTAAGTTCGATAAATCCAAACTGCAAAAATCTTCTTCAAAAATAGCAATTGTACTTAAAAAGACAATTGTACTTAAATTTCTAAAAGAATTTTTAAGTTTTTTTTTTTCTATAACTACTGCAAATTATATTATAAATTAGATGGGGAACATAATAGAATAATTTTGGATATTAAAGAATTACATGAGTGTATTACAAAATCAAAAAATCAATTATACAGTTGTTCCGCCTATTTGTAAGTATGTGTTTTTATGTTTAAATAATTGAAAATCCCAATATATGATATAGTAAGATTTTATCTTACCTTGACTATTGTCCTTCATCTTTAAAAGCATGGTTAAACAAAGGGTTAACTTAAAATATTTAAAGTTCAGGAAATATGGCTTGTTTATTTGGAGTCATTCTATATTCTATTCCCCTCACTGCGGAAATATTCTTGGGTTTCGGCATTTACCCTGTATTTCACAGCATATGAGTATTGATTGCTGTGATTTAGATTTATTTTAAAATTTTAGAATTCAAAAATTAGATTTATTTTAAAATTTTAGAATTATTTAAAAATTTTTAATTTAAAAATAATTTAATAAATTTTCACAGAAATATGCAGGAAATTAAAAGAAATATTATTATAGAACAACCTATTTATTATAAATAGATAATAATCTACCATTTTTAATTTTAAGAAAAATTTGACGAATACCAAGAAGATACAGAGTTACATAACTTTATAATTGAATATTTATTATTATGAAAATGAAAAATTTCGAAGGTCGATTTATAAACTGTTAATTAAATGTTAAGTAATGGAATTTTTGATAATTCTCTTTTAATTTCGATCGGAATACAAAGCAAGTTTGATAATGCCAAACTGCAAAATCTGAATATTGGAAAATAAGTGAAAATTATTTGAATATTAAAAAAAAATTTAATAATATCTCTTTTTATTTTTATTATTTTGTATCTGAAAATTTGAATTTTAATTATGTAAATTAAACAATATTTTCAATAAAACAAATTATATTTATTTGTACACTTCATGTAATTAAAAAAACAAAAAAAAAAAAAGGGAAAATTCTTTTTTAAATTTATAAGAACTTCAAGTTTACTTCTACAAATTATCTTTAATATCACGTCACAAGTAACACGTTTATTTTAAATTTTTATTATTAAACACAAATACAATATTAAATTTTTATTTTAATTTTATTTTTTGTTTTTTTTCTTGTTTCATAATTTCAATTAATTTCTTAGATCTTATATTTCATTTCAATTAATTGTTTTCCAAGAATTGGAAAAAAAATATGCTTATAATGAATGATCAATTTGAAAGAAAAATTTTTAATTATTATATTTAATATATTTATGAATATATTTCATGATATATAGATATGAATTTAAATTTTGATTCTCTTATATATAAACTTAAAGTATAAATAATTTCAAATAATATGAGATTTGGTATTTTTCGTTAAAAATTAAAAATTATCAATAAAAAAAAAAAAAAAGTATCAGAAATCTCCAATAAACAAAACGTGTACTTTTAAGAATACTTTTTAATTTATGTAGTTATTTTAATAAACTAATTATTCAATTAATTTTATATATTTTAATTAATTTTAAATTTTTTGGTAGTCCAATATATGTTTGTATTTTTGTTTTTTGAATTCAAACTACAAAAAAAATTCATCAAACTTTCTAAAAATGCTTGTAAACAAATTCAATATTTTAAATACAAAAAATTATTTTTGTTGTTTTATTATGATATCTACTTTACGATTAAGATTTGATAAAACTAAATCTTAATTTAAAAATATAATCAAAATAATTATTGAGAATATCTAGTGCTAAGCCTTGCAATATCATCTACACTAATTATATTATGTCAAATAAAATATTAATTTTTTTTTTGTTAAATTTATTAAAAATTAATTCTTAAAATTTAATGAAATGACTACAAACTTTTAAAATATTTATGTAATTTGATATAGCAATTATCTATAATTGTATATAGACGAGATATAATAGCAATTAAAAACAATGTCGGAAAAAAAAAGATTATTTAGAAATTTGTTCTTCCAGCAAACAAATTTCTTGTATTTGCATATGCCCCTGGAAAAGTACTATTCAATGTAAAAGGTGGTCGAATAGCTTGAAATCTTTGGGTAATTGATAATGTATTACCATGAATATTATTAAAATTATGAACTTGTCTATTATTAGATATTGAAACATGTTGAAAAGATGATGGTTGTGGTGGTGGTGGAGGTTGTGGAACAGATGCTCTAAAATTTATTCGTGCATTAAAAATTGAATTTTGTGCAGTTGCTGTAGATGATTGAGATGTTGCATTAGATAAAACAATTGGTATTCCTGCTGGTGATATCATACGTGGTCTCACGGACTGTGGTGTAATTGATGGTGTTGGAGGTCTAAGACCTGATTGTTGTACACTAGTTGCTCTTGAAGCGTATGATGAAAAATTTATATTTGCATTTTGAAAACGATGATGTTGATTTTGTTGATTATTAACGAAAATATTTCTATATTGATTTTGATTATTAACTGGATTTCCCAATAATGGAATAGACATATTCATCTGGGTTGTTTCACTATATGTTGTTACATTTAAAACTGGATTATTATAACGATTTGGATTTAGTGTTAAAATTGTTGAATTAGGTCTATTAATATTCATATATGATTGCCCAATACTTCGATTATTTACCCGAATTTCATTATTCACGATATTACGATTATTTGCGTAAGCTGTTTGAAAATTCTGCTGTTGACTAGCTTTGGGTGCGGTATTAGATTTCACAGTAGGTTTTTTAAATTTACTATTAAATGGATTTGGTAGTTTTTTCAAGGCATTATTTGAATCTGTAGAGCTTATAAATTCTGGTTCATCATCATCATCAATAGTTAATACATCTGATATGACTGCCTCTTTTAATCCTATTCCTTCTTCCATAGACTCAATCAACAAAGTGGAATTATCAAGAATTCTGTTGATTGATCTCATTCTTTCTTCTGGTATGTTATCGACATTTACAGTTTCTATCATATCTTTTAACATTTCCATGACTTTTTTGAAGAAATTCAAGTACTCAATACTCTTCATCAACTCTGTTATATTTCCATTAACCTAAAAAATTATTATTTATTTTATTTTATAGTTCGTATTATTTTTACTTTATTGGGATTTTTATATTATATACCCATATTTTTTCTGTTACTTAACCTATAAAATTCGAGGAGATATATAACATAATTTTGATTTTTTACAAAATTAAAAATAATTTTTAATATTAACCTTTTCCATTTCTTCGGCATGAGTCAGAAGTCTATTTGTTTCTAATTTAACCTGTTCTAGATCTTTGCAATTAACAATTAGTTTAAGTACCGATATCAATGTGATAGGAACATTCATGGAATCATTTAATTTGGTTCTATAAATGGAATTTTAAATTTTAATAATACTTGTTCTATAATATAAATAGAAATTTATTACCTTTTTGTGCCTGGATGAGATGCATTCAAATCATCAGGAATTTTTCGTTTGGAACAATCTGAGTTACCATAATATTCTGTAAATTTTCTTATTAATTTTTCTAAAAATATTGCCCGCTCGGATTTTTCTTTATAAACGGATATAAAAAACCTGTCGTCATAATGTAATTTTTCAGTACAAATTCTTTTCATGTAATTATCCATTAATTTATGTTTGTAAAATTTTTTTATGTTAATTTTAATACATTGGTTTAATAATTTTTTCGTACGTTTCTGTAAACGTTGGCAGATTTCTGCAATCATTTGACCAATTATTGTATTTTCCTTTTCGCCACTGAAATTCATTTGACTTAAACTGCTCCGAAAATATGATTTAAGTATTGGGAAATGCTTGTTCTGAAAATTATCATGTCTTAAAATTTAAAAAAAAAAAATTCAACACAAAATGCTTACAATATATAGCATTCGATGAACAGAAGAAGTAGCATGATTGGTGAATAGGTCCGTTAAATATTTGTTGCATAGTGTACATTTAGATTTTGACATTTCTTGTCCATTATTGCAGTATTTAAAACGGCATATGTACTCTAAGCTAAAGCTACTTTTTTCCCAATAAATGGGGCCATCTTCGTCTGATATTGGATCATCGAATATTTTTATATCTAAGAAATATCAAAATAATATGAATTTATAATCCGAATTACAGTCTTATATTAATACCTGAAATTTTTGTCAATTTATTGAACTCCTTTTCTACATCTAGGATAAGTAAATTCTGATCATCAGTGGAAATTAAATTATCTGAATTATTTTCTTTGTTTAGTTCGTCAGAGTTTTCATCAATTGTTCCTGATTCTATTTCTACTATGGGATTTGTGCTGCCACCGTTTTTATTTCCGCCCTCGACCTAATTTAATTTAAAAACAAAGTATTTGTTGCGTTAAAACAATTTATTATAATTAAAATGTGAGCCAAAATATTCATTTCTTTTTACCATAGGTAAACAATTCTGATCATTTTCATTTTCGTCGCCAATAATGACAAGTTCACTGTCAACTTCATTTTCCATTGATTCATTCTGGTACTCTGATTTGATTTTTTCCAGTTTTTCAATATATTCTTTTATAATTGCATTTATTTCCATTTGAGCAATATGGTCATCACAATAATGTTTGCGGTTACAAACAATTTTTACAAAATGATTCCTAAAGCAATTAAACATTTTTTGTTCTAAAATATTAATTTTTTTCAACTTATGCCTCTTCTCTAAATCGTTATATATGAGCAAAACAATTTTTTCAATTGATTCATGCTTGGTTTCAGGATCATGAACGACATCTTTCATTAATGTAGAAATTTTATCCCTCGTCAAGAGAAAATGGCGTACCTATATATTTAAAAATATGAAAATGTTTTTGATTTAAAAAATTCAAAGCTATATTGATATTATAAAACTAATAGAGTTTTATCAAATACTTTTACTTACAATAAAATTATTTATATGGAGTTTTCCCGCAAAATGGATTAGTGGATCTTTCAAGATATGTTCATTGCACAGAACACAAAAATAACTAAAATTGTTGCTAAATTTTATGCAATATTCTAAACCTAGTATTGGTCTATTTTTATTAACTTCAGCCAAAATATCTTTTTTCGTTACGTTAAGTACGATTTTCTGTACCTTTAAGCGATTCGTGCTTTTACAGAAGTAAACTAATCTATTTTTATTTTCTTCATGAACTAAAAATTTAAATGAAAAAAATGCTACACTAGATATTTTTTTATCATTAAAATATAATTACCTTCTGCAATATTTTCTCCTCCAAACAAACATATCATAATTTTAAATTCTTTTGGACTGCTGTCATAAAGATTGTAAACACATTGAAATCTTTTTTCTGATATTAAATGGGTTATATTTCGTTTATGGGTCTCACTTGCAATATGAATATTTATTTCATCAAAATTATTAGTAGAATATCGACAAGGATGACAGTTTATAGGTCTTATAATTTTATTTTCTTGCTGCTGAAATGGCCCGCAAGAGAATATATAAATGTATTGACCATTTTCCAGCTTCTCTTCATGCTTTACTAATTTGGAAATCTCCTCATTATGTTCATAATTTGTCACTGAAATATGCGGTGATTCATGAATTATTATGTCTTGACCGCCTGTTTCTTTTCCAATTTGTGATGGACGATTTGATTTACTAGTTTCATTGGAACTGATAATGTTGATTTCTACAGTTTTACTCTTTTCAGATGACCCCTTATCTATTTTCTTATCATTTTTATTAGATGTTTTTTCTTCAGTATGATTTGACGAAGAATCTTCATCAAGAGTCAAATCAATTTCATCACTCTAAAACAAATAAAATTGCTTAAATTAAAAGTACTCTTTATAAAACTTAATTTTTTTAAAAAATTACTTACTCTCATTATTTCCATTTAATTTTCCAAGAACCTCGGAGCAGTTTTACTTTATAGAAACGCCCTTTTGGTGTTCGAATTTATTAGAATTATTTAAGTTATAATTTAAATTACCCCAAAATTTTTTCAGTTCTTATCTTTTTTTTTTAAGACACAACCATGACATGACATTTGACAAGTAAACATTAACGTAATGCCATATTAACTCAATCACCAATCACTAGAAATGAACGACGGACAACAGTTTAAGCAAACCATGGAAACACTGTCAAACAATATTTTCTTAGCTTTAAGAAAATATTTTTCTTACCTTTATTTTTTACAATCTTACTGTATTACGGTATCACCTCATAGGTGATTCAGTAAGACAAGTTAAATTTTGGTAGTTTTGACAGCTTTGCTAGAATATTCCAAAGGAGCGGAATAAATGAACATTACCTACACGGTTTTATGAGGTGCCTTCACGAGACAATATTGGTAAATCAAAAAATTAAAAAAAATTTTAATTAAAATAAAAATTGTATTTATGTCAAAATTATTGTATTTGAAACATCGACGCAAAATCAAATATTCAGTCAACTTTAGCTCATAATGTCACATACACATGAAAACACATAATTTCAAAAAAAAACGTCAGCCGTAAAGGATTTTTGTTTTATTGCAGTTTAATAGCACTTTATTTCATTTGTAACGCATTCTCCTTCCATTATTCTTAAAAATATCTGAATGAATTATTTTGAACTCAAATTTATTAATTTGAATTCAATTAAAATTAACATAAATCAGTTATGGAAACGTAATATAAATATAAAATGACATTTTTTTTTTTTTGAAATGTAATCAAAATTGTCAGTTGTCAAATTATATATCAGATGACGTATTAATATTTTGTTGGTGTGTTTTGTTGTTTTCTTTCATATTTTTTATGTCAGTTCAGTTGAGTCGGTAGTTTTAAACGTAACTAGAAGAGAAAATTTTTAGTTAGTGAATTGTTTGGCGTATATCGGAATTAAGGAAAAAAAAAAGAGAAGATTTTATTTAAAATAAAATTATATTAAAAAAAAGGAAAAAAAAATCAATCTTCTCTTTAAAAAATATAAATGTTTTTTAATATAATATTGAATTAAAATTATTAAAAATATTATATAATAGAAGAAAGTTATAATAAAATTTCTACCTTAAAGTATAATTAAATAGCATTAATACAATTATTATTGAATAAGGAAAAAAAAAAAAGAATTTTTTTTTTGTTGTTTTATAGCTATACATTCAAACGTATACAATAATACATACTTATATACGTATATATAAAAAAAAAAATACCTGTAATTATTGTATTTTAATATTCAATTATAATATAATTAGTAAAAGAAAGAAAAGAAGAAAAAAAAAAAAGGAAATGTTTTCGATGAATCGAAAACAACGAATTTTAAGTCCAGCTCAATTAAAAAGATTATCGGAGCACAAATATAGTTGTACATCGGTCAGTTTATTAGATCCATTTTTACAACCATGGTGGTGTTGGCTTGTTTCAAAGACACCACTATGGCTTGCTCCAAATTTAATAACAATTGTTGGATTAATAGTTAATATAGTTACTACTATAATATTAATATTGTAAGTAAATAAAATTTTCTTTTTTGTAAAATTATTAAAAAAAAAAATAATATACGCAGTATTTGTTTTTATTAAAATAAATTTTCATAATATCATATTGAATATAAACCTATAACTACTAATATAATAATAAATGTATACAATATTATGTATTAAACTTTCTTATAATAAAATAGATCAACAGATGTAGCTAATAGTTATATGTACATATATTATTATAGTTATTTTGTTTAAAGGAATATTTTTGCATATATTTATAAAAATTTTAAAATTTCCCATTGAGGTTAGATTTTTTCCATTTTTTCTTATTTAGCAATATAACAACATTTTTTTTTTCTTTTGTTTTACTTTAAAGAGACAAGTGTTTTTGGGGTACTTTTTTTTTTTGTTTTTCTCTTTTTCCTTTTAATAGAAATGTTATTGTTTATTTAGCTAGATAATTTGACAATGAGGTATTTACAGCAATCTATTAAATACTCATAAATGTGAGTACATAATGAGTACTCTACATAATATATCTCATCTATATCTACTTCCATACATATGGGATGGTACTTACACCTATTTACGTTTTATCAAAAAAAAAAAAAAATACGGAAAATCGAACATTTTTTTCTTTATTTTCTCAAAATAAAAAAAAACAATAAAAAAAATACTCAAAAATTAACTATTTTTTTATAACTTTGATACGACCTCTCAACTCAACAAAAAAATTATATTAAAAAAGAGGAGAAAAAATGTAAATATTCCTACATACATAGCTAAAAATGAGAAAAAAAAAATGAAAATTAAATTTCTCTATGGTCGTTTTCTTAGGTTATAAAAATTTTTCTTTAATAACTTAAAAATAAAATTATGCGTAAATTATAAACCCTTGAAAAATAATTAAATATAATTTTTGTTATGTTTTTGCTTAATGGATGAATATTATAAAATTTTATTATCATAAATTTTTAGTTAATTAATTAAATTTTAGTGACGTTTATTTTATAAATGTGAGAAAAGGTTTTTTTGTTTTTCGAAAATTTCATTCAAATTGAAAGAAAAATATTTAGTTTATGTGTTGATTGCTGACGAATCAATTGGGAAAAGAAAGAAGAAAACACACGATTGATTTTTTTTTTCTTCAGCTACTAATAAGGTTAAAATAATTATAGATTCTAAGGTTGAATTTTATAGGAAAAGGGTGATATTCTTATTTTTTTTCTATATTATTATTATTATTATAACGTTCTATATTTATTGATTTATTTGTAAAATAAATAAAAAATTATGATTATAGTAGGTAAGTAGGTACCTTACCTTACAGGAGTAAGCATATATTTAATTTGTTAGTTATTTTGTTAGGTTAGAAAAACTACTTATTTTAATTATAATTTTTATTTAATTTCATATTATTTTAATTTGTATTTACTTGTAATATAATACAACCATATTATTCTATATTAGTCGCGTTAGTGGCGTGATAATAAAAATCTAGCACGTCACGTCACTTCTTTTATGATTTTCTGATAGTCGTGCCTGTACAGGCGATATAAAATGTTTTTAGATTGGTAAAATTAACAGCTGACGTGAAAAATGTTATGTTTTATTTGCACATAATGCAAAGAAATCCCTTCAACCCCGTTTATTTGAGAAATTTGAAAGCAATTTGCTATTTTACGTTGGCAATCTCAGGGTTGTCGTCGATTGATTTTATTAGCAACTCAAATTGCTTCGTAATTGTTATTTTGTAAAATACAAGAACCAACAATTATTACATAATATAAAAATTAATAAAGAAAAATTTTTCAGTATAAAATTAATTTATTAACTTTTGTAAGCAAAACTAATTTGCCGGCTTATTCATTTTATTCATAAATTTCAAACTATAGAATCTTGGCATAGTGTGCAAATGTTTTGATTATAAAAACTAATTCATTTTCACGTTGTATGAAAAGTTTTACTAAAACAGATTTTGATATTTGCTATAACGTCAAAGATTATATTGTCATTTCAACTATCATGGGTACGCATACCAGAATAGGACTGGAACGTGATAGTATCATTTAATTCAATATTTTTCATGCATGCGATACGACAATCAAAAATATGGGTGATAAATTATCATAATAGTAGCTCGATTTCAATATATATGATAATACTAGGTAGTATTGCTACTTCACTACTTACTTCTTTTATTTAAAGGTCAAATTTTGAAAAGATATTCTTTATTTTTATTGTTCTTAAAGAAAGATTTAATATTGAAAATTTCATAATAATTCATTGATTTTTTTCCTTTTACATATGTACACAAACGATAAAATATAGTTTTTCTGATTTTTGTCTCTAAGGTATTAATACAAGAACATCTACTTATATGTTGAAGATTTCTTTTCAGAAAACTATACTATTCTATATAACTGAGCTCATATAACTATACTCGTACATATATACATACATATGTACTTAATTATACAATATACAAGTTTTATAGTTGATTCTATGTTGTATGAATGTTTAAATATGTAAATTTTTTATAATAAAATTTTCAATAGAAATTCATTTATATTTGGCAAAGGTTAGACATTTTTTTTTTAAATATTAAATTGATTTGATTCAATTATAGGAATATGAATAATAGGTAGGTAGGTTGAGTATGGTTAAATTGGTTACGTATGCGCTTTCCTATTATATAATATTATTTAAGTATATTGTAAAAGAAATGTACTTTATTTTTAAAATTTTAAGTAAGTACTAAAGAAAGTACTTAAGTAAGTATTAAATTGCTTTCGAAGGTTATTTAGTTAAATGCTGACAGTATATTAATTTGCATATTAAAAATTAAAATTATTTACTCGTTACAAATAAATTTTTTAGGAAGGTACTCGTATACTATTATTTCTTTTAAAGAACAATCATAATTCATCAAAAAAAATAATTTGTACCATACAGATTTAGCAAACATACAATACTATTTACGCACGGGGTCGTGCAAAATTTTAAAAAATTGTCAATTTTTTGCCAAGGTAGGGGGTCGTGTAAAATTTTAAAAAATTGTCAAGTTTTTGCCAAGGTAGGGGGTCGTGCAAAATTTTGAAAAATTTTCAATATTTTGCCAAGGTAGGGGGTCGTGCAAAATTTTAAAAAATTTTCAATTTTTTCCAAGGTAGGGGGTCGTGCAAAATTTTAAAAAATTGTCAATTTTTTGCCAAGGTAGAGGGTCGTGTAAAATTTTAAAAAATTGTCAAATTTTTGCCAAGGTAGGGGGTCGTGCAAAATTTTGAAAAATTTTCAATATTTTGCCAAGGTAGGGGTCGTGCAAAATTTTAAAAAATTTTCAATTTTTTGCCAAGGTAGGGGTTCGTGCAAAATTTTAAAAAATTTTCAATTTTTTGCCAAGGTAGGGGGTCGTGCAAAATTTTAAAAAATTTTCAATTTTTTGCCAAGGTAGGGGGTCGTGTAAAATTTTAAAAAAATTTCAATTTTTTGCCAAGGTAGGGGGTCGTGCAAAATTTTACAAAATTTTCAAATTTTTGCCAAGGTAGGGGGTCGTGCAAAATTTTAAAAAATTTTCAATTTTTTGCCAAGGTAGGGGGTCGTGCAAAATTTTACAAAATTTTCAAATTTTTGCCAAGGTAGGGGGTCGTGCAAAATTTTAAAAAATTTTCAATTTTTTGCCAAGGTAGGGGGTCGTGTAAAATTTTAAAAAAATTTCAATTTTTTGCCAAGGTAGGGGGTCGTGCAAAATTTTAAAAAATTTCAATTTTTTGCCAAGGTAGAGCGTCGTCCAAAATTTTACAAAATTTTCAATTTTTTGCCAAGGTAGGGGGTCGTGTAAAATTTTAAAAAAATTTCAATTTTTTGCCAAGGTAGGGGGTCGTGCAAAATTTTAAAAAATTTTCAATTTTTTGCCAAGGTAGGGGGTCGTGCAAAATTTTACAAAATTTTCAAATTTTTGCCAAGGTAGGGGGTCGTGCAAAATTTTAAAAAATTTTCAATTTTTTGCCAAGGTAGGGGGTCGTGCAAAATTTTACAAAATTTTCAAATTTTTGCCAAGGTAGGGGGTCGTGCAAAATTTTAAAAAATTTTCAATTTTTTGCCAAGGTAGGGGGTCGTGTAAAATTTTAAAAAAATTTCAATTTTTTGCCAAGGTAGGGGGTCGTGCAAAATTTTACAAAATTTTCAAATTTTTGCCAAGGTAGGGGGTCGTGCAAAATTTTAAAAAATTTTCAATTTTTTCCAAGGTAGGGGGTCGTGCAAAATTTTAAAAAATTGTCAATTTTTTGCCAAGGTAGAGGGTCGTGTAAAATTTTAAAAAATTGTCAAATTTTTGCCAAGGTAGGGGGTCGTGCAAAATTTTGAAAAATTTTCAATATTTTGCCAAGGTAGGGGGTCGTGCAAAATTTTAAAAAATTTTCAATTTTTTGCCAAGGTAGGGGTTCGTGCAAAATTTTAAAAAATTTTCAATTTTTTGCCAAGGTAGGGGGTCGTGCAAAATTTTAAAAAATTTTCAATTTTTTGCCAAGGTAGGGGGTCGTGTAAAATTTTAAAAAAATTTCAATTTTTTGCCAAGGTAGGGGTTCGTGCAAAATTTTAAAAAAATTTCAATTTTTTGCCAAGGTAGGGGGTCGTGTAAAATTTTAAAAAAATTTCAATTTTTTGCCAAGGTAGGGGGTCGTGCAAAATTTTACAAAATTTTCAAATTTTTGCCAAGGTAGGGGGTCGTGCAAAATTTTAAAAAATTTTCAATTTTTTGCCAAGGTAGGGGGTCGTGCAAAATTTTACAAAATTTTCAAATTTTTGCCAAGGTAGGGGGTCGTGCAAAATTTTAAAAAATTTTCAATTTTTTGCCAAGGTAGGGGGTCGTGTAAAATTTTAAAAAAATTTCAATTTTTTGCCAAGGTAGGGGGTCGTGCAAAATTTTACAAAATTTTCAAATTTTTGCCAAGGTAGGGGGTCGTGCAAAATTTTAAAAAATTTTCAATTTTTTGCCAAGGTAGGGGGTCGTGCAAAATTTT